CCTCGTCCACCTGGACTCGCACCCCGACATGATGGTGCCCAAGGCCATGTGCGCCGACGCCGTCTTTGACAAGGAGGCGCTCCAATCGGAGCTCAGCATCGAGAACTGGATGTTGCCGGCTGTTTATGCGGGCCACCTGAGCCGCCTCGTGTGGGTGAAGCCGCCCTGGGCGACCCAAATGCCCGACTCCACCTCCCGGTTCCAGGTGGGGAAGGACCGCGCCAGTGGCGCCATCCGGGTGACCTCCAAGGCGGCCTACTTCGTGTCTGAGGGCCTCTATCGGCGGGCGGCGCAGCTGGAGAACGCGCGCACTGTGCGCCTGGACGTTGCCACGTTGGGCGCGCGCGCCGCAGGCCTGGGGGCGCTGGTCGCCCTCATGGGCGACCTGCAGTCGCCCTATATCCTCGACCTGGACCTGGACTTTTTCAGCACCAGCAACCCCTTTCTGAAGGAGTACGCCAAGGCCGGCATGTACGAGCGGGTGAAGGAGATTTTCGCGTTCGAGCCGCCCAAGAGCGAGAGCGACCACGATCTGGAGCAGTTCACCGCCCGCAGGGAGGCGCAGCTCGGGCGGCTGCAGGCCCTGTTCGCGTTCCTGCAGCAGCATCGGCGGCTGCCCGATAAGGAGGAGGAGGAGGAGCGCGATGAGGTGGACGTGCGGGTGGAAAAGCTGCGGGACGCCCTTTTGGAGCACTACGAGGAGGCGACCATCGACTGGGAGGTGGTTTTCGACGCGGGCTGCACCTGCGACGACTCCGGGCTGCCGCATCACGTCTCCTCCGCGGAGGAGCTGGAGGCGATGCTGCAGGCCTTCGGGCGGTTCCTCCAGGAGCTCCGGCGGCCGCCCACTATCATCACCGTGTCCAGGTCGACGGTGGACGACTACTGCCCGTGCGAGGACGTGGACGACATCCAAGAGCGGGCGCTGCAGCTGCTGCGCCAGCGCTTTCAGTGCCAGAGCCCGCAACTGTGCTACGACACCGACAGCGATTAGTCGCCCTTGCGCGGTTTTCCCGATTAAAAGCCCAATCTGGCAACAGGGTCGTTTTTTTGCTAGCGCCGCTAGATGGCCCCTCCAATTGCGCAAGGTTAAGGTGGGCTCCGTCATTGGCCAGCGGCTATTTTTAGCGGTCAGGCGGATGCCGAAAAAAAGCGGCCGCCTCTGTTGATCGTTAGTCATAGTTTCGGCGCTTTCCCTGTGAGCGAGCACGAGCGCATTTTCCGGCAATGAGTGTGAAACTGCGCACGCGCACCCCGTCGCCCAAGACGGTCACGTTCGATCCATCGCCGCCCACCACGCTGGAGCGGAAGCGCCGATTGGTCCAGTTCCGGAACCTGGTCGAATGGGAACAGTACCTCAGTGAGTAGAAGGGGCGGCGACTGGAAAGTTGCGCATCAATCATGCGCCGGCTGGTTGACAGCTGCCAACTTGGCAACGTTTGCGGTTGCTTTGAGGGGGTTTTTGGCCGTAACTTGGCAACGGGTGGAGTGGGGGCAGGAGCGGCTACTTGTAGCCCCCTTGGAATACATTGTTGCCAGATTTCAGCTGATTTGAGGCGTTATTATAGAAAGAGAGAGAGAGAGAGAAAATGAGAAAGATATTAATATATATTTACCGAGTTATTTAAGATATCGATAAAATAAATTAGTTCCGATTTAAAATGTCTACCAACAGTCAGTTTAAGATTTCTAATGTTGAAAGAATTAAAAAAAAATTAATTAAAATAATATACGTTATAGTTTAAATAGTAAAGTTAAAGTTAAAGTAAAAGTTTAAATTTAAAAGTAGTTTAAAAAAAAAATTATGTTGATAAAAGTTTAAGTGCACGCAGAAAAGTTCTGAACAATACAAAAGTAGGAGTTCCACATTTCTACCCTGTATAAAAGTAAACTGAACTACAAAACACTAGCATTGAATGGCCTTCAATTATCTTATAATGTGTACCAAAAT